GAAAATAAAATCAAAACAGAAAACATACAAAAATACATAACATAGTATTGCACCTTGCAGATGGGCAATATATATTCTCAGTTTTGTTGGTTGTTTGTAACCTCTATGTGACACCACTATCCTCTCTGCTGGTGTGTGGAAGTTAGGTTGTGGGTGCCGGGCTCAGGTCCAGCCCCCTCCTGTCAGCTACATTCAATACCATATAACACTCAGCCATTACAAAAGCCACAATCCCTCAGTCTCTGGGCCATTCACATTTTAAATGTACTTTTTGTAGACTGTGCCTTTGAGTTGGAGTTGCCTCTCCCGTCATCTGAGAACCAAATGGATAAGATAGAGAGCACCAAAGCTTGAGGGAAGAGTTCTTTTGTAACTTATACTGATGCGTACACACAAGCACATATTATCTTAACATATACATTTTTTTTTTTAAATCTATATATGCATCTCAGAACTTTCACATGTGCCTGCAAAATATTACTCCTCCCAAGTTCCTTTGAGTTTTGTGTTGTGTGAGGTATGACAAGATTGTGTTTGTTTTTTTTTTTGTTTTTTTTTTTCGTATTTTCAGTTTCTGTTGCATTCTTTTTCCTGTTTGTGTTTTTTTTTTTCTCCAAAGTTGTATTTCATAAAAAAAGAAAACAAAATATAAAAAAAAGAAATTCCTGTTTTGTTGGTTGTAAATTCCTCCTGATAAGAGGGGACGGACAACTGGACAGACACACAGACAAACATATCAGTTGGCTTATCAACACAAACTATAGATGTGAAAAAGAAGTGAAATATTTTCTATATTACACTGCACGCATGGTCAAAAAGTGACTACAGCTGTTTTTTTTCCTCTTTTACACAGAGCAGTTTAAGCATCAAAAAAAAAAAAAACAAACAGAAAAATAAGAAAATGATAAAATGAAAAATCTCCAATAATTTTATTCAGGAGTCTTTTTTTAAAGTCATCTCTTTTCATTTTGTTTTATGGATTTATAATCATTTCATATATCTTTTTTTCTTAATCTAAATCAGACTCAGAAGGTAAAGCAGCATTATAACCCCTACTGTCACACACATACCCAGTCAGCTCACGAGAACAAAGGATGTCAATGTTTGTTTTTTCAGTTCTTTTACAAAGATGTGTTGGAATTCCAAACCTGCATCTCTGGAATGGATCTCTTCCTGATCCTCACCCTCACCATATCAAAGTTGGAGGTTATCCTTTCTGAGGGAGCTGAGGTGGGGGGGAGGGGGACATGTGGGGTGGTCAGCTGGCATGGGAGCGGGGGGCTCGTGTGGAGGCTGTTGTGGGAACTGAAGGGGAGACCGTAGATATTCCTACTACGCCGTCTCCCCTTCCTCCGAGTGTTCGTTAACATCGTCTCTACAGCCAGCCACATCGCCCTCTCTCACCCATGTCCGTGATGGCAGTGAGGGTCGAGGCCCTCTGCTTTTTGTTTCCTGTCCCGCGTTTTCTTCTTCTCTCGCATCCTCACATTCTCGCGCTCAAGTGTCTTGTTCCCGCCGCTGCTGCTTTGCCGTTCACATTCATTCGGTGGCGCCACTCTAAAGGGCAGTTATGGCCAGCCTTGTCTCACAAGGGAGAGGCCTGGATCCCATTCTGTGTCAATGATTCTGGGCCAAGCTGGGGGGGTGGGGGTGGGGGGGGGGAGCAACTCACCCAGCGGTGAGTGGGTAAGATAGCTAGGGTGCTCAGGGAAGAGGAGAGGGGGAGAGAGAATGACGATGAAAGGGAAGCTGTTTGGAGGAGGGCTCAGAATTTGAAATGTCACTGGGCTGACTCTGCTGCAGGAGGGATGATGGGAAAATGAGTACTACAGGGAGAATGAGTAAGTGCTACACAGCCCTCCTGACTCCTCTACTCAGGGATCTCTCTCCACCCCTGTTTGGGTTGGGTAAGGGATGAGGTTTATGTGCTGTTGGTCTAATACTGACAACAAGACAGGTTTGGGACTGAGCCCACTGCAACTGCCAGCCTCTGTTACACAGAGCAGGTCAGGATGCCCATTTGAGGTGAGGGAGGGGGAACTAATGTGTAATCCAACGAGGGACACTGGTTAAACTTTGAGGAGTAAGGGGATAAAAGAGAGGACCGCTGCAGTAGTGCAAAAACTCCCTCCAGCCTGGCTGGGTGGGGGCTGTTATAATGGTGGTGGGGTGCAATTCAGTCTGAGCTAGGCTCCAGAAAGGGCACCGTCATGGGCTGCAGTAAGGTAGGGCAGGGCAGGGCAGGTGATCGATCTCTGGAAGCGGTGATGTGCTTGAGGAAGGGATTCAGACCAGACGCTGCCATCGTGCCCGAAGTGGTGCTCCAGTTCCTCTCTCCTACCAGCACTGCTCCACGCGTTTGAAGCAGTTAGGCGTGGCCATCTGTGACGATTACCCACGATCCCTGGCGCACGTTCATCTGCTTAGGTTCTTCTAAGGGGTGCACGTTACCCATCCTGTACAAGTGCCCAGTATGAACTACTGCTTGGCATTGAATATAAAATAGATTTTCTTAGTCTCTTTTCTTTCATTCTCTTCTTGTAGGAGGTGTAAAGCCAGTTAGATTCGGCTTGGCCCCAGAACTGGAATGAACAGAGTGGGCTTTTATGATCAAATCAACATTCTTGAATGGTTGTTTGGCTAATACACTATGATATCTGCCACGGATATTTGCCAGGATATATTACTGTTATAGAGGGGAGCATTGGTAAAGTGCATGAGACTAAAAGAGTTGTTAAGTCATTTAGGTTGAGAACATCCCATCTTTTTAGGTCTAATGCACTGTCCATGCACAAACGAAAGCTTATTCCCATGAAGATATTTATCAAGATCCAATGGCAGCCTTCATAAGTGTACTGTGGAAGATCACCATGATGCAGACAGAGACTGCGCTTCTATGCGTGCTAATTCAACAGATGTGGTCACCACTGGTTATTCAGTTACTCTATGTGATCTATCCTTTTGCCACTTGCTCAGATGGGTGTCAGCTGGGCTTCACATCTACACTGTCCTTCGTCACTTCTTTGAGTCGGTTTCTGTTTTGACAGAAACAAGTAAATCCAAATTTCAAAAGATGACACTTGGTCCCATATAACAAAAAGAGATAACCCGAATGTAATGGGTACCATTCCCTGGAGTCGGTGAAACCTCCCAGGGGGATGGCTGGCCCTCCTGTCTTCAGTGGTATTTCATTTCAACCAAGTGATAGCACTGAGGGTGTGTGTGTATGCTGTGAGTGTTTTGTCTTTCCAGTACTACAAGTGTGCACCTACGCAAAAATTATGCACATTTGTGTGTTAATCTACACATGCGCCAACTTGAATGGTGTATGTCTGTGTGTAGGCTGTGGGCAGCTGCCCTGTGTCCACAGAGGTGAGGTAGTGCCTGACACCACAGGGGCAGTATTGCTGCCCCAGCCTGGGGGTGTGTCCGCATTGAGGTAAATGGTAGCCTTCTTGGCATTTGCCTGCTCTCAGTGACGCCCATGGTAAAAAAGGCATGTGTGTATGGAAGCCTGGAGGGGCCACACTGAGCTGAGTCCGTGAGGAGGGGACTCGGTACAAACCCTGCAGGTTAGGGCTGTATATCGACACTGCCGCGCAGTGTATACAGTAAAATGAGGCATTCACGTTACTCTGAGGTGATGTTGTGTGTGTTCATGTATATGTGTGTGTGTGTGTGTGTGTGTGTGTGTGTGTGTGAGAGAGAGAGAGAGAGAGAGAAAGAGAGCGAGAAGGAGGGAGGGAGGGGGAAAGACAGAAAGAGAGAGAGAGAGAGGGAGCAAGAGAGAGAGAGAAAGTGAATGTGTGTGTTGGATGAGCTTTGCTGTCCTGCTGGTGGTTGCTGCTATTCAAAACCTCTTTGGAGGCCTAGTTTGGGAGATTTATTTCTAACCCCTGGTTCTGAATCCACAGTCCAGCTATTAAATCTTGTTTCCTCCCTCTATCTCTGCCCCTCCCTCCTCTCGGCTTCCAAGTGTCTCCTTCTCTCCTCTACTTACTTTCTTTCTTTTCCTCAATGCACTAACTCCTTGGAGAGAGAAGGGCTTAATTGTCATTCATAAGACGCTAGGTTGCTGGCACAAGCAGCACGGGCAATGACTAGGCAAGTCTGCTCATGTGTGTGTCTGTGAGTGTGTGTGCATGTACTGTATGTCACAGGAGCCGGTCCAATGACAAAAATGAAGGTAGATATGGAGCCATGGTCTGCACGTTTTTCAAAGGTAGACAACACAATTTCATAAAACTGGAGTAGCCTTATATAAATATAGCACCGGTTTCACTGGGATCTAAGAAGAAGAAGCTCCAAAAACAGCTGTAACGGCTCAGATTGAGTTGAGAAATTGATAATATCTAGGTCTGGTAGCATTACTACGGCCATTATACACCAGAATAATAAAGCATCTACTGAAATTTCAATGTGCAGTGTTTGCTGATTGCGTGTGCCTGCTGTGAGTGTGATAATATGTCACCGTTGACCATATTTTCTGAATTACTGCCTAAACACTTATTCAGAAATAATACTGAGAGGTGCTGAGACACGGGCTTCAAAACGTGTGTAAATCTGTGACCACTACAAAGAACCAGAGAGGGGGGAACCGACCCCTGCAAAGAGTGCTGCTCTGAAGAACTGAGGTGGAACAGGCTGTGGCTGTGTGTGTGTGTGTGTGTGTGTGTGTGTGTGTGTTTGTGCGTGTGTGTGAGTGTGTGTGAGTGTGTGTGTGCGTGCGCATGTGTTGTGTGTGTCTGTGTGCGCGTCTTGGCAAATGGCTACAACTCTTGCTAGATAAGACATCATGCTCAGACAGAAGGGCCCCCACACGGATTTCGAAATAGGGGTAAGTAAAAGGAGGAGAAAGAGGTGGAGGAGAGGGTGTTCAAAAAACAAAATCCTGTTTGCTTGACTCTCCTGTTGCTGGTGTGTTGTTTCTGTTATTGTTGTTTCCAGTTTTTAATCCACATACTGTAAATGTGATGTCAGAGAAATGCCGATTCCTGCCGAGAGGACTCTCCCTCCATCCTTCCCCTATAAAAATGATGGCCCTTCCCATCTCCCAGTTTGCCCCAACTTCCTCTTCCCTTTGCCTGGTGGCATCTGTGTTTCACACCTCCTGGTCCTCGAAGACCTCCAGGAATAGCGGAGGGAAGAGTTCGTTGGGACACTCCACCTTCATGTGAAGGAAGCGGCTGGCGTGGCACGCCCCGATCATGCGCAGGTCTGTCACCTTCATCAGGAGCTTCGGCCAGAAGTGGGGAATGTTGTGCTTGCGGTAGTTGATGTAGTGCTCAAATGCCAGCAGGTAGGTTTCCTGGCACTTCTCGATCTTGTCCATGCAGGTCAGGCCAGAGCGGTCTGCGGGAAGCAGAGGGTTGGGTGAGTGAAGGTGGCAGGAAGAGCGAGTGCAGAGGAAAAGAGGGAGGCAGGAAAAGATGAGGGCGAATGTAGGAAAAAGGGGAGCAAGAGAAGATATGGAGAACGAGCAGAGAACAGAAGACGGGGAAGAACAGAGTGACGAAAGAAAGGAAAGGGGGAGAGCATTGAGTGTATAAAACCACATACTGTGGCACTTTAATATTATTATTATTATATTTATTATATTACTATTATATTACTATAAATCTATCTTATCTCATTTATTTTCACAAATTTAATTTTGTATTTTTTTCATACATTTTAATAACCTGTGGATACACTGAGAGTAATTACATTGCTTCTCTAGGATGAAACACATCCTCTCTTTATAATGCATCCTATTATTTGTAAACCTGCAACATATCATTCGTCACAATGTAAAACAGTCTGTCTCATGTTCAGAGTTTTTCCAATGAACAAACTAAGAGTTAAGGCTTTCCAATCACATTCAGGAGGAGCTTTGGAAACCCTCCTTTCACCACTGAATATGTATGTGGGCTTTTATCATAATTACATTTTGCGTCACAATGGGCTACAATATATACTGTGTACAGCAGCGGGTAACGGCTGGGAATATGGGCTGTCATGGGATTGTGTCTCTAAGGGCACAGAAAACTGACATTTAAATTTACATCACATTAAGCTCAACCTCCTGGACTACCACTGTTACAAGCAGCCGGTGCAGAGAGAAGGCGCTGTCATGCTGCAGATGGAAGTTTTAGAAAAGAAGCTGAACAGCTAAGTCACAAGTTCTTAAATCAATAACAACCTGAGCTCATGAGCAGCACGGCCTGCAACAGCGCCACCTCCGTGTCGTCCAGGTTGAACTGCGCCAGGCTCTTGCCCAGATCGAAGATGGCGTCCGACACCACACCCAGGCCACCGTTCTTCAGTTGCTCGCGCTTCACAGCCATCTCCCCGCTCAGCGTCAGCGTCTCGCTGTCGGGGTCGTAGCGCATGGCAGCTCGCAGTGACATGATCTCCATGCAGCAGCCCTTCAACAGGATGATCTGGTCTTCACAAGGCAGCTGGTGAACAAAGTTTTTTTTAATGTTTAATGGACAGTTATAAACATATATCTCTAAACAATTGTCACATGGACCATAATTCAACATACTGAGGTTGTAAAAAACAGAGCAAGCTTTACAAGAAGGAAATTATTGCAGATAATTTCACTGAAAGGACATTTTTTTTCTAACAGTAACAATGTAATTAGTATTTTCTCTTTCATTTTAGAGCTAAGGTTACTGTTGTGGAACACTAGGTTAAAAAAGAGACAAGAGGAAAACAAGAAAGAGTAATGGAGGAGGGACTGGGCTCAGCGTATCTGTTTCTGGTTGCATAGCTGAGCAAAACAACATTTAGAAAAGGCAAAATTGGGGATAAATGGACACTAAAATATGTTGAAAGCAAAAAAACACCCATTTCCAGCAGCTTTAAACAATAATTTATAAAAATGATTAGGTGTATTTAGGCTCTTCTTGGTAAACAAGTTAGAGAATTTTACTTTTCCATTCACAAAGTGAATGTTTTGTGACAAACTGTTTATTACATTCTGGTACTTTCACACCACCACCACTCAGAGAAAACAAGACGAGAAAACAAAAATTCCCATCCATCCATCCATAAGCTGAACGTATGACATTTTCACTCTTGACTTTACTGGAGATAGATGTCTACCATTAGCTGATACTGGAACATTATGATCACATCTGGGGACATAAAACTGGTGCATTCAACACTACACTGCAGGAAGTATTTGAGATATTCTTCCTCTATTTTTTACTTTTGTGAAGCATAACCAGACTTGTGAGCACTAACCCAGTCCACCATATAGTTAACACTATACAAGGGCATTGATGCATGTAGATGGAAGTGCAGTGGGTCCAAAATTCCCCAACAAAAAGTCATTTTCAGGAGCTTAAAATTCCCAGTTGTTACATATTTGGTACCAGCTCTTGACCCCCAACGGAAAGGATAATTCCAGTTTACTATAACCTGTCTGACTGCTTATTATCCAACTGCCCATGTTTATGGTGACACTGGATGTTTTAGCTGCAATGCCGTGTTCCCAAATCTAAACCATCAACTTGATGAGTATCCAAGTTGGAATAAACCAGAGTCATTCTCAGTCATCAGAAAAAGAAGGGAAGAGAAAAAGAGTGAGGGAGCAAAGCAGAGATGCGGTAAAGAGGGAAGGATGGGAAGGGGTGAACACAGATTATGACTAATACCCCCTGATTTACATGGATATTAGAATCTCTGGGTTGAAACCCATTTGATTAAATCTACAGACTCTGGTGTGCTGAATTAAATCTACCTTAATGTAAGCTTGTTTCTTATTTCACCGCTCTTGACTGCTGAATAGACTAATTGGCATTCATTGGCTTGATTTGTCTTGTAAATTTGTACCTTGGGGGGCACGCTTAAAGTAAATGCTTATAATGCAATTACTGCTGCATCAGTTTGTGGGAAAAGCAATAGATTCATTTTTAGTGGTTCACTGAGTGCTGGTTTAGTTTCACTGCATTATTATCAGTAATTCACTGCAGTGGCATGAGCAGATATCATGTAGGCTAAACAGGTTCTCTCGCTCCACCTCTTTCATCAGATTAAAAAAGGCTTCTTTCATAAAGCAATTTATTATATTGTGAATAAAAGATAACCTATTAAAAACGATGACTGATTATGTGTTTCGTTGTCTGGAATACTAAAAAGCTCCATCCTTATCTGCTGCTGTTTAATTTCTTCGTCTCTATAATTAATACCCAGCAGCGGTATGAGGAATTTATTCTAGTTTACACATTGATTTGAATTGTAGTATCCATCATAATAGTAAGATTTGTGCCATAATAGAACAATAGGAATTAATTTTACTTTAAAATATGCTGATTGAAAAAGCAAAGACCTCTACTTCCTCTACTGTATTTGTGATGAATGTTCTCAAACACAGCAGTGGATTTCAGTTTTAACTTCCCTCTCCTGTAATTCATTACAGGGCACACGCACCCGCACACGCACGCACACTCACACTCACACTCACACTCACACACACACAGCAGCTGCCCCACTAGACAACAACAGCTACTTTGATAATTCTCCAATCACACAAGGTCTCATTACAGGCAGCAGAGACAAGAGATGTGATTACATGCTGCCAATTAAGGCAAGGAAAACAGGAGCACATGTGCATCTCTGATTGTCACCACCACCGACACACTTGACACAATGCATCTATGTGTTTTCTACAGTATAGTATTAAGTTGTAGCTTGCATGCTATACGTATGTTGCTGTGGTCTTTCTCAAACAGAGGAACTACTAATTCTAGACAAGACCTCCCTAAATCACACATTTCCTCAATAAATCCTGGCTGTGTCTGCTGTGTGTCAAAGTTTGTCAGACCCCCCCCCCCCCCCCCAACACACACACTCCACCAACACTCTGCTGCTTAGGGCCATTAAACCACCACTCACCTCAGAGAACATGGGCAGTTTTTTGGCAAAGTCGACGACGCGGGTGATGGCAGGAGTGATGATCTTGGTGAACTCACTGAAGGCCTCCAGGTCCACCTTGTCTCCGTCTGATGTGGGGGCAACCGGGGACTGGCCAATTTTGTCTGGCTACATGGGGGAGAGTGAACGTGGGTGGCTGATTAGAGCAAAGTCGAAAATGAGAGGCGAGCAAAGGAGAGCGGGAAAGAGTTGGCGAAGTCTGACCTGAATGAGGACAAGCTGAAGCGTTTCACAATTTTATTATTGTCAAGAAAATCCTACAAAAAAAAAAAAAATCAAAACCAGCAATATTAATGGTTGTATGTGTATCAAGGCCTGATATATCTTATTCCTCAGTGCCATAGAGCTCCACTGTTGTCTAAACACTATTAAAAAATACATCAATAAGCCACACTATTGCATAGAGCATCCTGCTTCCAGAAATACTCAATACAGCATCAAATGAAAAGTCCCCAAGAAATGCTGAATTTTCTCCCGTTTGAGTAACATTTGCTAAAAAGTGCAGTGCCCATAAGGAAATGATTTAGGCTGTTTTTAAAGATGTAAGTCTTCAGTAGGAACATATGGGCTTGAGGCAGAGTGACACAGACTGGGTATGGGAGTCAGAAAGTATTCAGACGGACTAACACGCTGTTGGTTTTAGTCTTTTCATGGGATTTATTGACAACAAGGAAGATACTAAATATTACCAGCCTTGTTTAAATGGAACATGAAAGTGCATAAACCACAGTAGAGGAGAGGGGAGCATGTGTGAGGTGGGTAGAATAAAGAGAAGAAGGGAAGTGCTCTACAATAGATTGTAATAGAGTACATTAGTACAAGGTATAGTTGAGAAGATGGGTGTGTCCTTGGAATTAAAGAGCCAAAGGAACCCAAAAGAATAAAATAAGATTAAAGAAGAATTGATGAGAGTGGCGTGGGTCTTAGAGTGAAATAATATAGAGGAAACAACACAGTTTTAAATAAGTTTATACTCTTCCTGCTCCTTTTCACAGAGTGCTCACTTGCCTTATCTGAGAAATTCAAGCTGATTCATCAGATAGGGACAGCAGATTGTGCTGTGCGAGAGGAATGGGACATGTCACCAGACAGATAGAGCTTACGTAGCGGAGGTCTGCAGTGGGGAGCTACAAATAAGTAATACATATGTTTACAGAGTTGTGTGAATCGAGGCTGTGACGATGAAAAATATTGTTTCACGCTCCGCTGAATAAAGCTGGTGTCAAGGCTGGAGTCATTTATTCAGGCCGGGCTTCAACAATAAATGGAATGAGATAAAAGTGTAGGAATAATCACCTCACACGAGGAACCATCAATCATAATCCGAAAGGAAAGGGATTGTGTAAATCAGAGCAAATTTAGCCAGTTCTCTGCTCTGCAGCGGAGAGCCTCGCAATTATGGAAAATTTAAATAACTGTAATAACAACTCCGATGGACTGAAATTCTTGTCGTGTCGGAGCCAAAACAAAGCATTGGTTTCACTGGTGGAGGTCAGTGGCATTTTTCATTTCAGTGTTGAGAAAATAGCTCTCCGGAGAGAGACACAGAGAGCAGCTGAGGTTCAGAGCTGCTGAATGCACGCCACGCTTCGGAGTGCAGAAGCTCAGAGACAAACCGCAAGACAAAGACAGTGCAGGGTCAGCTGCGTGTCATGGGTCACGACTGGCGCAGACGACAGAAATAAATACAGAGTCTTTAACACATTTTCTCACGTAGCTCCAGTGGCATCCAACCATGAAGATAGTTTTGGTTTTATTTGTCCAGGTCTTAACATATCTAAGATTTCCACCTCAACCCCAAGGCAGGAGAGGTGCTGACAGAGTTGAAAAATGGAATATAAAAAAGTTCAACGGCAACCTCTGTTTCCAGTAAGTCTGAATAACCCTCAGATCTCAGTGGCAACACATGCAGGAATCTCAGTGACAGATATCACCAAACAAATGAAACCAAAACTACCATGAAATTAATGTGAGAGAATATGTTTTTTTTTCTTTAATTTTGGTGAAAGATCCCTTTAACGGCAAGATGACAAACTACCCTTGAATGTTGAATGAAGTGTGCACTATGCTAGGGCTGCAGCTAACTTTACTAATGTTTAGCTATCCTTCAGCTATATAAGCAATTTCATAATAAAGTTAATCTAAATACTACCAGTGTTACTGAAGCATTTACTCTATCAACAACCAGTTAATGCACAATGCACACAATTACAAAAATGGGTGCGATTATGCTGTACATGGGTATTAATTTGTGTTTGTGAATGTTCTCCACATTTTAAGCTTGTGCTTATATGCTCATACGCACTGTCTTATGGCATAATGTGCTTTTCCTGGAACTGTTAATGTTTGTTTATTAACTGCACGGCCATCTGGGCAGCATGTAGAGAAACACTCGGCTATACCGGCAGAGACGGCGAGGGATTATGTCTTTGCTGCTGCAAAGCATGGCACGTATAGACAAAACAAACAGCTTGCAAACCGTCCCAAAAGGGGCACAAAATATTTGGACTTTGACATGAGCCATATCACACTTTGGGAATTAACAATCGCTACACTGAGGGGAGGAAAGGGAAAAACTTCTCACTGAAGTCTCATCATTTATACGATGAGCTTCAACTGTTGACCTTTTATCAGATGGATTAGTTCTGGAGCGTTTGTTCCAGTAGAGGTGGAGAAGAGAAATGAGATCCATATATGTTTTAATCTGGCTGTCTCGTCCTTGTGCTGTGAACTGTACGTCTGGGTCATGTTTTATGTGATTGGGATAAATTCTTTACATAGATTACCTTCAATCTTTTAGCAATAGTAGCAGTAGTTGTTGATCAATGCTAATAGCTCAGTAGTGACTTAACAAAGGAGTGAGATTTCTATTTTCCAAACTCAACTCAACAAGTTCAAGACTGTGATGTTCATGTAATCAATCCTGGGTCTGATAGTATTCAATAAAACATATTTTCATATTTCCTCAAATAGAGGCCGGGGCCTTTATTCACCTCAACTGCAGAAGGTAGCAGACCTTTATTTCTAATTCCCTCTGTTTGATATGTGTAGGAAGCCATGTTTGATCTGCTCCTGTTTGCCCTGTTAAGTTACTGCATTACACAGTTAATTCACACTCAACTCTTCCTGTAACTGTTTCAAATCAAAAGCCCTCTAGCCTTTCAGTGGACAGAAACCCTCTATTTCTTAACAGGGCTTTTGTTGGGAAACATCTGCAGGCATAGTACATGCAACAATAGCCAGACGGGAACTTTTAATTGACTCCCAGCCTTTATTTGAGGAAATATGGTGCTTATCGTTAGCTTGATTTACTCATAAATGTGCACAGAATGGAGGAGAAGAGAAGGAGATCATCTTGACCTGCAGCTTCTTTAAAAGGCCTGAAGAACATTTGTTATCGTTCAAGGTTAGCTAGGGGGAGAGGAGAGGAGAGGAGAGACAGGTATACTACTGTACCAGTGTGCATATGGAAACTTTCCTGATAAGGACGAGCAGCTTAGTTAATTAGATGTTTTCCTAGCAACTGCTATAGTGATGTCCAGGCAATGTTTTAGAAGTAGGCCAACCAGACAATCCTGTGTGTAACTGTTGATCAATAAGTAATGTTGCTTCCATCCAGGAGGAGCATGGAGTGAAAGAGTTAAAAGAACATGTCGGATAAGTGACTCCTGTTCTGCAGACCGTTCACATGCCAGATTTTTACTTTGTACTCTCTGTAATTTACAGAACAAAATTGTGTGATTCAGTATTAAATTTCTCGTCCTCCTGTGTCTTTGACTTGGTCCCTATGAACCCTGAAGTGAAAGATTGATAAAATCTGTTGGAGAACAAAAGAAGAGAGAATAAAATCCACAACAATCACCTCATGAGAGCAGATCTGCAGGTATACAGTTCAAAAATGGATGTTTTTGAACGTCTAAATGTCTGCATTCAACCAAAACCATATGTTCTCCATGCACTGAGTCACAGTTGTTTCTGTTTCTGATTGTTACGTTTTAGTATAATAGCTGAGCAGAACATTTTAAGCCAGCCAGGTTGAGCTGTCCTCTTTGGTTAGTTTTGTCGGACCAACAGCAAACAACTGTGGATAAAGTTCATAAGTTCACAAACTATTGAAAATGGGGAATTTGTGTGATTTTGAAAGGCTGCCAGTGGGTTTATGCTTCACTTGGCCGCAAACACTAAATAAAATTCTTGGAGCGTAAAGTGTATATTGACCTTTACTAGCAAAATAGTAGGGACTAACGGACAGTTACAGAGCATCCTGTATGTTAGTAAATATAAGTAAACTGAAGTCATACTTGATACTTTGCGTGATCCAGTTCATTGTAGTTATATCTCATAGGAAAAAAACCATAACACTGACAAAAAAAGTACATTTAAAAAATATGCACATGAAATAAATCAATTCTTGCCTCTGGAGGCCTCTTTTTTTCGTCACTGTGCAGCCATTGTTTTGTATGAGCTGCGGTTGTTGATCTTGGCTACACACACCTGACACCACCAGCGTCTTTCTTGGATTCAAGCCCTGACAGAATTGTTTGTATGTGTCAGATTTTCCGACAAGCACAGATAAGTACATCAACATACATATTGATACATGCATGTACACAATAACTTTATGTATTTACTGTATGTTTGGAAACTTGTTGGTGATTACATTTATATTAATTTATCACATACCGTATGTTGGCTATTTTTAATTTTAGCGAGATGTTGCATCAAAGAAATTCAATGTATTTTTAATACAATGAGCTACCAAATAATTAGGACTATTTCTGAACCAACATGTAGACGTGCACGTAAACACACAGCTGTATGAACTGAATCTGCTCTCCTAAAAGATGTTTCCAGATGCCAGACCACAGACTGTGTGAAAGAGAGAAGACTCTACCTCAGACCAGTGTGTGTGCTTACACATCTAAAGGCTTAGCTGCATTCAGCCAAACTATACAATGGGCAATGAAGCAGGTTTCAATATGGTCCAGCTGTCTGGTGTGAAAAACCTGAAACATTGGACTATTCAGTACCCACAGACCACCATTTCAGAGTCAATGTGATCCCCAGAACTGTTTCTGAGTAGGTACAGTCCTTCGTGGGCAGTTAACAGGTTACAGAGGATATTTCTAGAAAAAATAAATAAATGCAAACAGGTTCAGGAAATGTGGTAATAACTAGTGAACCAAAGAGATGAGTTGTTATGTTCGGAGATGTTTGCAACATAAATGTAGTCCTGAAAAGTCTATCTATGATAATAACAACCTAATGATGTTTTGCATCCTTTCAAGATGTGAATTCACACCTCAGAGAATGTGGGTTGTTTTGGAAACTACATCGGCTCCTACCCAGTGAAAGTGTGGTGCATGTTGTGGATTCAACAGCTGATATCATGGATCAACGTGCCGGTGAAGATGTTTGTGTCTCATAAACCCTCTCACCCTAGATACTTAATTGGGGCTATACCTGTGTTGAATATAATCTGCTGCTTCCTTCCTCTAAAAGACGGCACTCTTTGGCTTCATCATTCAACCCAGTCATCCTTGAGCGGGTAGTCATCATTTGTGAGCTAAAGTACAGTGCATGAGACGCGGTGTCACTGCTGTCGTTTTATGGCAGCGATCCCCATAGGGCTGAATTGGCTCATCCTGGTCGGCTTAGCATGTAAATTTAGATATTCAGGGTTCAGTGGCTACAGCCTCTAGAGCCCCATTAGAGGGTGAAGCCTGTATGAAATAGAACTGTTTATCCTTTTAGATGAACCAAGCTGAGGGCTAAAATATACAGTATTTCACAGTAGTGCGGCTTATTTTGGAAGCCCTGCTTTACAGACAGGCTTTCTACAACTTTGTAGGGTTTATAAAAATATGTCTTTTAACCTAAATTCTGACCTTAACCTTCTCACTTTAGGCTTTATCCTCAACATAAGTCCTGATTCTTGAAGAAGTGGGGACACGGCAACATGAACTCACTTCACCAAAACAAATCAAAACAAAACAAAAACACACAAAATAAAAACTGGGTTTCAGATGTTTCTTTTCTCTTTAAAGAAATTCTTAAAGAAACATCTTCTTCTGTGCTTGAAGCTTTACACCTCCTCACCTACGTAATCCTCAAGTGGCCCGCTTCCCATCACCCGTACTTGTACTTGTTGCCTAGCAACTCCCTCCACAATACTTGCCACCACACCACAAGCGCTTTCAACCCCTCTCCAGATGAGTGCCCCTCATTTCTCTCATCTAACCCCCATCTACACCTACACCTCAGGTTCCTGGAGTAGAATTTTTTTTTAAATAAAGCTCCTTGATTCGGCCATGGGCTCTGGTCCAGTGCTGCTGTGAAACTGTTAATTATCTGGGCCAAAACATGAGGTCAGTGTCCGTCTGTGTTTATGTGTGACAGGGGAAGACTGATACTGGGCAAGGACACCCTGACAGGGCTGTCCAGGATAGATCTGAGTGCCAACACAGCCGGAAGACAGTTTGAGAGAGAGAGAAACTCTGCCTGCCAACATCCCTGCCAACTTCGGGATGAGCGCTCATGACTGAGGATTTGCCTTGGCTGAGATAAGCAGGGAGCTCACAGAAAACAGACGGGCAAAATAGAGAGGGGAAAGTAAGGGTAGACCCTGAGGGACAGTGAGAGAGGAAACAAAGACATGAAGACGGGAAAGAGATTAAAGCGAAAGGAGAGACTCAAGGTGTCAATAAAACTATGAAGGGAATTAGGTCTGGTTAAGAGCCCAGAAGGATTAGGATGAATAAACCCCCAAAATGCTAGAGAGAGCTGAGGAATAAAGACAGAGGCAGAGAGAGACAGACAGACAGCAGGGAACACAGAGCGATAAAGTCATGAAGAGCTACTGTGGCAGTCAGTCATATGAGGAAAGAGACTCGGCTCACCCAGATAAAATGAAACCCTATCATTTCTGATTAGGCGTGCATGTTTGTGTGAGAACATAATCCATATCTTCCTGTTGTTAGGATCCGAGAGCAGAGGACTCGACGCACAAACAGTAAAGCAGCAGTTTACGGTGTGAAAACCCCTGTGGTTATTGTTTACTGAGCATCTTCTCACTCGACTTGCCTCCTAAAAAAGGGTTGATAAAATTTGAATGTCTAAATGTATTTTTTTTTTACTGCTGTTCTCATAAGACACTTCATGTCACATGAACATTTTAAAATTTTTAATATAGAGCATAATTCTGGAGTTTTGGCCATTGTTTCTATCGGATATTAAACACTGAAACCACTAAATGAATTTCCGTTATCAGGGAATACTTGACTTTGCCAAAAAGAGGTCAAATATGGGAAGAAAAATTAGGACTCAGATGACAGTAAACAGTAAAATTATTGTCTGTACTTCTGTCCTATTATGACTACTGTCCGTTATAAACATCCACAGCATAGTAGCGATTTCAGTTTCACCTCCAAATAAAGTGGTTTACAGTAATTGGGCTAAACTGTTGACTTGTTTAATACTTGTCTCATCGCCTGACTGCTCGTTTCTTGTCTTGCCAGAACTCTGTTGCAGTGATGCTGATGTGTTTCCGGATCTTCAAAATTACTTTAGTGAGTGCAGTGATATCGTAACTGATAGAAATGATAATGCACTGAAGACCCGGATCATAATAAACTTGAATTATCCCTTAAAATTGCACATCCCGGGCCATAATTGTGATATAGAACCATATTGATTATAAAAAATAAAATTTTATTCTCCAAAATGCTTCCTGTATTTATCCGTCAACTCTTTGAGAGAATCAGAGTGTATGTGGGTCAACACATCTGCCCATTTCTCACGTCTTCTTACCAGGAATTTGCGCTTCTGTTTCCACTGTGCGCCCTGAGCATTGGTGTGTCGATGGGCCTCCGTCACCAGGCGGATCAGCTCCCACTCGGCCCCGGTGGGCTCTGGACGGTTCTGAAGGGATTTCACCATTTCCTCCTTCTTGCGTCGCTCCCTGTTCTCCTCAATCAGGCGCCGTTTAGCCACCCGCTTCGAGTCATCCAGCACCACTGGGAGGAGAGGGAGGAAGGCAGAGGAGGAAGAAAAAGAGCCACAGACGGAGAGAGTGCCAAGGAAAAGAAAGCATAAAAAAAGAGGTATGCAACTAGTTTGCTTATTGCCAAAAGTTTGCATACTGTCTTCGGTGGCTGCTTCTATATAAAGTTTATATACACACCCTCTATATAAAGTCCCCACATCTTTTCTCTCCTCTGCATCACAATATGAAATTGAAAGTGAATATGAATATAAAAGTGTCATTTTAAACACAGAGCAGCGTGAAGCAAGACTTCAAATCACAGCTACGTATGAAGGTCCATTAATGTACATCCTTCATATTAAGTGTGTATCAAGTGTGGAAGTGCAACACTCACAGTCCATAGCCATGCCCACTGCAATGCACTTCTTGAAGCGGCAGAGCTGACACTGGTTGCGGGTGATCTTGTCGATGATGCAGCAGCAATCATATTTACAGGAGTAGGTGGGGTGGAGGTTCTTTTGAATGGTCCTGCGGAAGAAACCCTGCAGGCAGACAGCGAGGGAGAGATGGAGGAATGGATGTTACAGACAGAGAGAGACAATCAGAGACATTTAAAAGTTAAAAGAGAAGAATATCGAGGATTTACAGAGGGTAAAAGGGCAAGATGAGTACGCGAGAGAGTGATTATGAGATGAAGGGGAAGAAATAAAAGTACCAGGGAAGGACACAAAGATACATCATATTGCTGCTTATTTCCATTTGAATGGCAGACAGGCAGGGAGATATTTTAACTACCATTACTGCTTATTCTCTGTATGATAAAAACTAATTATGAAAAATGATCTTTAATCTAGAATTTAATCTAATTTGTGTCTGACTTGCTTCCAATTCTGAGGCAATTTATGTAAACGTTAAAATCCAAGTATTATAATTGCTGGAAGGCAACAATGTGGGAGTGAGATGAACAAATCCATAAAATAAGCCTCAGTATTGTGACTGTATTATTAGATTGAAAGTATTATTTTGCTGCATAAAGACTGCATAAAGTTTGTGTGTTTGACTGCCTAAAGACCAAAAATAAATATGCTAATTTTTTTAGGGGCTGCCCAATCAATCATACACACAATCATCAAACACACAATTGGCCACTGAGTTTAATCACAATCCCTTCAGTGCTGCCTCAGACACCGTGTCACTGATGAACAAACAGAAGAACAGAAGCAGACTGATCATAGACCTGCCTGACAGCGAGGAAGACAAATAATACAAGGCTGAGAGCTGATGTGACACACTGACAACTCTTATGCAAATATGCTAATACATCATCTTTATGCGAATGTACACTCTGTGCCTACGACCTTGGAATGTGCTTGTGTGAATGTATGTGCTTAAGTGACTGTTTCAGAGTGTGTGTTTGCCAGATACAATATGTGAGTGCGTGTGCGTGTGTGTGTGTGTGTGTAAGAGCCGCTGACCTCAGAGGATTCATATCAGGGTTTCTGGAAGATATTACACAGGTTATGAACCTGGTGTGTCAAACTATTGGTTTTGCGTGTGGGTATACCTTGCAGCCCTCGCATGTAATGCAACGATAGTGGTAACCTGTGGCCTTGTCGCCACACACCACACATGGCTCATCCTTTTCGAGGTAGCTGGGGATGTACCCTGAAACAGAGAGCAAAAATAAGGTTAGACAGAGTGACATTATATATTGTTTTATCACTGAAGATGTTATAAACGAGCCTTCTGTCCCATCACACTATTACACAACATTAGTGTAATATCAGCCTCATGCTACAACTAGTTCATAACTTCAAGATCCATGACTCCATGAGTTCCAAACATCCGAGTAGCCTTTCACCTATTTTGTGAAAAACAAATAAATTAACTTTTCTATTTCACTCTCAAAAGGTCCTATATGATTGCATTTATTTTCTTAAACCAAGGACAAGCTTCCATATAACATACAATATGTGAGGCTTCTAACGTAAGAAAGTAAAAGCATACATACAGTATATAAGCCAGAGAGGAACATGACATAAGAGGTGGTGGTGTTCCTGTCTTGCTTTGTTTATGGAGACACTTTAGTTTTTCAACAATATGGTACCTGACCCGCAGGGCCACACAATCAGCACAGTGGAGCAATGTTTGTTTTGTGTCTTGCAGGTGCAGTTTTGAAAATGCTTTATGAGGAGGAAAATTCATTCAACACATTTGTCAGCCCTCGAGGATATACATATGTTTCTTTCCTGGTGAGAAACACTAAATGTAAACATGCATTTAGTTTTGTTTACAATAAAGTTCGACAGGGCACCTTTACAAGGTCCAACGCTTCTTCAACTAGACACTTTCAGTAAATTCTACCACACTTGCACAATGGCTCCGGTCCCAGACTCTCTATACTGTCTTTGTGATCCACATGTAAACAAAGGATCATCACACGCTATTGCAAATTTGTCTTTGGTGTGGCTAACAAATGCAGAGAGAGCTGCACGTCGGGACATCCACTCTTTCTAATTACTGTCTAAATGACTGACCCGTCTTTTAATAGAGCGACTAAAGCTGGACAGTGAAATTTAAGCCTTTAATGTTTTCTGTGCTGTAAAAAGTTTATTACATAAGTAACGTTTTGTAAACTTTGGCTCATGTCAGGCTTTTATTTTGAGTTATGACTGGATGAGAAGGATTTTTCATGTCTAATTCATCCTCTTTAGTTACTTATACGCATACCACAGATCAGTGTAGTCACAACATTACAGATTTGCTCTTTAATATTATTACAACTGGACATTACTGACTTATTATATGGTGTTGATGTGTTTAGGTTACATAAATGTCAGTGCTGACCAATGTTCATTTACAGTATTTGGATTGTTCTCCCTCCCTCTGCAGTCTTCTCCCTGTTTTAACTTAGGAGTAGGACAGTTTGTTCTTTTTCCATATTGCCTGAGTGAGACTGAGGGAGTGAGCTCAGAGACACAGGAAATAGCAGATTTCCAGCCATTTCATATGACATATAGCTAAGAAAGTGGGAGGGACAGGAGATGGTAGACTGCAATTTACAAATACATACACAAGTGTGTCTCAACACACACACACACACACACACACACACACACACACACACACACACACACACACACACACACACACAGAGCCACTGGTAGATCTTTGTGCTATGGACATACAGCACATGTGTGTGATGTTTTCATGACACATGCTCATGTGTGTGTGTGTTTGTGTGTGTATATGTGTTCGTGTGTGTGTGTGTGTGTGTGTGTGTGTGTGTGTGTGTGTGTACCAAGGCGTGGTGAGAGCTGTGACTGGCAGTGTCAGTTGGGCTCTGCCTTTTGGCTTTGTTACAGATTTGAGAGGAGGAGGGAAAGGGCAAGCAGAGGATGGTGGGAAAGAGATAAAAAAAGATGAGGAGAAGAACAGATGAGAGCGAGAGCTGAAGGGGCACAAGTGACATTCTAGCCAATTTGATTTTTATATATTGTTGAAAAGCTCTTGAGTTCTTTCTGTTGATAAGAAAAACCCATCCAGGAAACATAATAAGAATTTAGATGGAGAGAAAAAAAAAAACTAATGGAGAAAAAAAATGTATTTGCTAATATAAAGAGTGAAAGAAAATGACGATCAATGCTTATGAGAGGGAAAAAGAGAGATCACTGCAGCCAGAAGACAATGAGAAAATAAAAAACTGAATTGGGAAGGACACAGGAGGAGAAGGGGTGGAGAAGGGGGAGTAAGAGGAAGGAGAAGAGAGACAGGCCAAATGAACGATAACAAGGACATCAGAGAACGATCATATAGGAAAAATGTCAGATCCAGCGTGTTGGCGGGGCAAGCATTAGCAGCAACCGGATCCCAGACCCAGTCTGCTGTGCCTGTGTTTGGAAGCCAAGCCCAAAATCAATACTGCTGCAGCTCTCTGGCTCTTGCTTCCCGCCCCTCCCAAAGCAGGTCCTGCAATACCTCCACCAACAAAACCCAGGAAGGGGAAGGGTTTTTCTTTTCATTCTAGTGAGGCTGAGTCAAGATAAATATTTTGTCTTCACAAGTTTCCCAACGTAACATTTGCCGTTCAGAGGGTGTATGGATCACGGGGGGGGTATGAATCTGGTTCCTGAAGGAATCTTGGGATTGTTTCTCCGAGGTCCTTACATGACAACAACACTGGTGAGGTGACATCTGAGGCAGTAAACATTGAAGACATCAGGAGATGAGATTCAAATTGTACACAGAAGCTGGAGATGAAACAACAGCCTTTATACAAAATCTACTGCGCTCACTGCTGCTGTGTTCACTCCCCCTTCTCTGACTGGCACAGAAATACTGTTTTATTTCAAATTCAAAAACTATTCACAAATGCAATAAAAAGGGTTCAATCTACACCACAACTAGAGGAGAACTAATTAAAGCTGATGATTATTTGTATCATCAATTAATCTGGTTTTGTTTTGATTAATTGTTTAGTCTGTTTAGTTGTTTAGTCCCTGGTCATCATCTATACCAATTGCTTAAGGATTCAGTTCATTTTGATACGAGATATAGAAAAGCTGCAAATCCTCACACCAAAGTCAAAATTAACAATGTTTTACCAGCTCATGTTAAAGCTGCTTTAGTCTTTGACCACTTGGGGGCAGCAGAACCAGCTGAAAACACAGCATGGACTAATATCATCTTATAAACTCCTTTTAGCTGACATGCTAGCAAACAATTGTCCATTAGCATACTGAGACGTCATGGGGCAACGTTAGCATTGATTTGAGTAAAGTTTGTGTCCACCTGATAAATGTAAGTGCAATATTCACTCTCTTTATTTTAGCTTTGTTTTGGTCTCCATCAGCTCCGGAGTGAAACATCTGCCTACTTTAGAGGCGAAATTCTCCACCATGTTCACCAGCAAGTTAACTTTTAGCTAACTTTTTTTGCTGGAAATAGTCCACTGCAAATACGGCGACTTAAAGAGGTCAGCCTGAACCAAACAATATTGTTGCGGGCCAGAAAACTAAAACAAGGAGCTAAAAGATGCTAAAATGCTGCCAAGTGCAGATTTGGGTGATAATTCTCTGTGAGTTTGCCACTATAGGCAACTCCCTTTCACATCCTACATTCTGTAATCATCTGATCCATTGCTAATAAAAAAATATTGATTGGTGCAGCTTTAAAAATGTCAAACAATGTTCTGTTTGTCCACTAATCAATTCACTAATCATCTTAACACTAAAACTCATTCATTCATCTCTGAGCAAACTGCATTTTCAATACACATTTACTATACATCTGTATATCTGCAACTTAAAACAGTCTGTGTGGCCTAATTTCACTTTGTTAAAACCTGTTTCTAATCATTACAGAAACCATTCTGTTAAGAATTTCACCAAATTAGGGTTATGAGAAGTGACTGTGCTGTTTTAACGCTTTTACAATAGCTCCACATCCAGCTGTGTCCAGATGTGCATTCTACAGACCAGGTTGAAACACTGGCAAATATCAATGCACATGTTACACAAGTCCTCTTGTGTCCTGAATGAGCCTTGAAGCATCCAAAGTCTGGTTGAGGGTCCACTCCCCCACAGGAAAATGCTGACATCATCACAGTGTATGCAATTCAATCTCAGACAACCATACCCCCCAGGCAGACATATTGTCATACTTTCCCAGTTCAAATGGACCATGGCAGGTAGAATATGGTACAAATTTCCAGCAGTGATGCATAGAAGGAGGCAACAAGCCTGCTGGGAGGGAAAACGTGTGGAAAGGACACGCCTTGGGAGATGTATTTTATAAATGCCAAATCAACCATCCTGTAGGCTCAGATTTTTATATGCTGGTGTTCCTCCCGCCCTATCTCTGTCAATATCTCTCTCTTTCCTGCTTCTCCCGCCTCTTTCAGCTCCGGGGATTTGGAGCTGTCACTCAGACAATGTGCTGCGTCCGACTGAGCGGAAGCCTCTCGCTCATTGATAACAGATGCCAAGATGTTCTACTTTTTTTTCTTTGAAGGTGACAAATCGAAAGCATAATGTACACGAGGCAGCGATGAATCATGCACCACTGGCTTCTGTGCAGTCATTCACTGCGGTGAGACAGACAGCTGAAATCTTCCTTTTCTAAGATTTTAAGACTCCAAAAATATATCAGATATCCATATACTCGAGACTCGAGATACTTAGGAATTCAGACTTCATTCACACTTCAAGTAAGACAGTGGAAGTTTGTTTCCTAGCTGCCAGTTCACAGCTGCTTTTGAGATTCTCTCACAATTAAAACACCATCCATCACTTACTCACCAGTCATACTTTTCACCGAACATTGGCTGTTCTTCCTCTTCCTTTTCGGGCCATTGAGCCACCTGAGAGAGAATAAGAGGAACATGGAGAAAAGAGAGAAAATAAAGAGAAATCAGTATCTGGACGTGTTACCTGGGTAAAGAAACGTGCATGTTAAGGTATGTAAAAAGCATAGCAATCCAAACTGGATTAGCCAGATCACCATCTACTCTGAGGTGATGATCGGATCTCAGACAAGTGTGAAAGCAGTTTGTACAGTTGGGCCACATTTTAAAGAAACAAAAAAACAACAAACTGTCCGACAAGAGACTACAGGTAATGTATCCAGGAAGGTGTAAATGGGGTCTATTGCACAGTTATGACATACATCAGTACAACTCAGGCAGTGGCATATAAGCTCATGAAAAAGGATACTAAACTGACTTTTAGAGACGTTTCTGTATTTGTGTAACCTTCTCCCTCTATCATCCTGTATCCTTTTACCAGCCAACCATCTGGTACTCAATTTAGGTTAAAAAAAACACAGAGGCATGATTTGCTGCAACTTTCATTTCAAACAGAGGAGTAATGGAGCTCTCCAGACCGAGGTTTATGTCATAAGTGAAAGGAGAAGGGAGATTTTCTTACAAAAAAAAAAAAAAAAAAGTTGCTTTTTGGCAGAAAGAGCTGTGTTCTTGACGGTGCTCGCAATCTAAATCCAAGCAGTAGAAAAGAAAACAACGTTTTTGTGGAGGAATACAATTAATAAATAAAGCCCCAAAACAACTCTAATTATTAGGCTCCAATATGAATCGAGCATACACACAGCAACATGCACTCTCAATGAGCATGTGCACTCAGCAGCAGACACACACACACACACACACACACACACACACACACACACACACACCTGCAACCACACTGACACATGTGAAAGGCATGTAAAACACAGATGGGAACTGGCTGCTCTGAAGGGAATTATGAAAGTGCGGAGATGGAGGAGGGAGACAGTAAAGTAGAGGAGGGGGGTGGGGGGGAGCTTTTCTGAAAAGAGAGTATGGGAGAGAGTTAGTGAGTGCTCCATGTCAGTGTTGGATGTGTTTGGAATCCCAAGAGTCCAGCTCTCTGCTCTCAGACACTCCTGATAGCCTCCAGCTCTCCTCCCACACCAGGGCCCTTTAATTCCAGCTCCAGCAGAGGGACCAGGACAGCATCATAAATAAAATGTGGTCCCACTCGCTCTCAAGATGCAATACACAGGTCTATGGTTTACATATGCTGTGTGATAGAGTCGTACGTTCTTTTATTATCTGGAGGAAGGATCCCTCCTCTGGTGCTCTTCCTGAAGTCTGACCTTTTGTCCTATTTAAGGGTTTCTTTGCAGAGTTGTTAGTTATCTGAAGGTACTGAGCATTGAGGGAGTCGTATGTTACACAGACTTGCCCTTTGAGACAAATTTGTGGCCTATATACAGTATATAAACAAAGTATTTAACTGTTCGGATAGTTTATACATATTTTTCCTAAAGTGTCTATGCCTCATGCAGAGATTATAAGCTAAGTGACTCTTCTGTTTTCCATTTAAGGGTCCACAGGTCCAATACCAGTCACTGCCTGTAAATGTCCCAAAGGTTTCGTACTTCTTTTGTGAGTCAGCATGTTTTTCATTTTTTCACACCAGCAAACGCTGTCGGCCCCTGAGAAATACAACAATATAACTGGCTGTTAAGTTCAGGGAGTTGCTGTAATTGAGCCTAAATGCCAACTCAAACAGCCCTTCACATTCTACCCTGGCTTCAATAATAGCACTGTCTCGTTCTCAGTTATGGTTCCCTTTGCCCTTTTCAGAATACATCTGATGGCTTAACAGGGCATTAAATTAAGCTCTTAAATAGCCTATTGAGTTAAAGCTTGATTTATTATGATTGTTGTGTCTGTATCTTTTGACTTATCTGTGGCCAAACTCGTGGATGTGGATATAATGTTCCTGTCATGCTGGGATGTGGGAGGAGAATGGGAATTGTCTACAGGAGTCACATGTGAAGCAACACCTTTTGGCACACAATAAGAGCAAAGGCTGCAATGTGCATATTTCACAGTGTAACAACTTAAGATGATCTGCAAAGTCTTTAAACATGGAGGACGCTTTCCATTCACTGTGGGCAAAAAAAAAAGAAGAAAGAAAAGAAGAAAAATTACAGCTCCTACAGCAGCAGAGAGACAAGGTGAGTTTTCACTGCCATTCAAAGGTAAATGTCTCTCCTTCTGCTTGCTATAGCTTCCCCATCACTCCACACAGCTGCTGCAGGCAGCAACCATCAAGTTGTCAGCTACGTGACAGTTCAGTCCTCCCATGCGGCAGTGTGTTGTTATAGATGGAAATATAAGCAAACAGGATAAAAACAGCTACTCTTTATTCAGGTCTCTGTCACTCCTGTGACAACTACACCTTCTCTGCATCTCTGTGCTGCGATCCTGCATCCCAACAACAAGTCCTTGATAATCTAAGATGTCACAACCTGCGACGTGTTAGAAAGCTTTTGTTTTCCCTCTTCTTAGGGGGTGTTTTGTGCAGTATTTTGTTTTCAAGCACGCATTAGAGACGTGACAGCACAGACGTGCCAGAGAATTGGCACAGCAATGATATGATAATGAAATGATAATACAAATCACCAGCTCCTTTAATAAGCTCCAGCTCTAACCCACTATTAAAATCTGAATGATCCCAAAATAGCACTAATGAAAATATTAGCACCTTTGCAGCTAAAAGAAGAGCTTAGCACTCTTGGTGAGGCCTTGGAAGAGCTGTTCACCACTCTAAGAGCTCTCAGTGAAGGAGTTAGAGAGAAGCAGTCAAGTGGCCCTAGGAAGCAATGAAACTGGAAAGAAACCAAAAACAACCACAGTAAAACACAATTTAAAAACATACGGTTCAGTGCAAAAGATTTTCTGTAGGAGGCTGCACCTTAAACAATAATTAACATCTTGTCTCTTGGCAATAAAACAACACTGAAACAAACTCATGGAAAAAGCAGGCAGCCTGACAGGATTTCAGACTCTCACAGAGCCGGTGAAGGTGTGGCACAAATACATGGACTCCTGTTTGGAGATGAAAACATCATGCATAATTGAGTATTTTTTGATGGAATGTGAGTTTTTGCATGTTGGGGCACGGCGCTGTGCACTGCGCAAGGCATACCACAGAACGCTTTTCAATTTCCAGCTCTTAATACTCTGATGGGACACGGATTGCAACACACCTCCAAATATGCATGGTTCCACACACTGTGCCTCGGCAACCTGATCCTGCCCCACACCAACATGCACATATTGTACTTTCTCTCCAGCACAGACGTGGTTTAAAACTTCAGTCGATGTGTAAGAGCAAGAATTTTTCCGTCCTATGGCCGAATAAATTTGCAGAATATGTGCACATGTTGCACAACTACACACATGTTGCATAGCCCGAAACAAATACAGAACAGGAGAATCAACAACATGAGCCAAAAAGATGAGACCTAGGCCTAGAGTGCTGACCTGAGGACGCAGTGGGACTGTAAAATATGCATGGCAGAGGAGCAGCTCTAGTTGAAATTGCAGATGTAGCTGATGAGCTGCTACACAGCCTTCATGTATGGACTCCATTTTCTCACTGTCCTACATCCTGAGGTCCCTGCTAGTTGTGCCATAGTATGTTCAGCCTGCTGACCCACTCAAACACACGCTTCCTCTCCCTCCCCCCAATTCTGTGGGACTTCTTTGCTCTGCTGCTGGTGCCACCCACTTTACCCTGATTGGAGCACAGCCAGCTTTGACTTGAACTGTTACTTTGACGGCGACTTTGGAGTGCGTCTAACAGGTAATTGCTGGGCTGCCAGGTAACTGAGCACTCTCATGAGACTTGACTATTTTAAGACGTTTCTTTAAGGCTAAATCAGCACACATGACTGCAAAAGATGCGGAGGAGCGAAGCAAAACCGCGATCCATACTGAGTGAGAGCTGTATGTCCTTAAAGATCCCCTTAAGCTGCCACACTTAAAGAATAAAGTTGGTGTTATTCTAAACCTTTCTTGTGCACAACAAATCTGATAAAAAGATCAAAACCAACAATGTGTTAGACAGTCTCTGAATACTTTATTTATCCTGCCCTGTCTGTTTGCTTGTGTGTCTCAAAACAATGTAAATTCAACAGCAATGAGCCTTTCCAGAAACAATGTCTCGTTTAGAGAGAAGACACAATGATCAGTTTTCAGAGGCACTCTACTGAAGAAAAAGTCCACATAAAAACCCTGTTGACAGCAAGTTCTGTGGATTATCTAGTGTAACAGGGACATTGTGTCTGGAAAGAGATGCTGCTGTAAAATTTTTTAAATGTCATTTTTCATTTCTGTGAGCACCCCAAATAAGATTTCCAGTCACTTCCATTGTATTGGGATAGAGGCAGAAATCTCAAGAGATGGATATTTCAAATAAAACCAAAACCATTTGCATGGCCAGATACCACTAGACATAAGTGAGATGATATGTTTTTTGTTATAATGTGGGTGAACTGACTTTAAGACTGAGAAACACCTGCTTTGAAGCTCATGCTCTTTAACCAGACAGAACAATGCAGATGCACTCGGAATAGTCCAGAGAATTATATCCATAACAGTGTCTGAATAAGGCCCCCTGTCCTATGTTTAGAGTGCAACTGTAGCCTATTGTTCAGCATGCATGCACGCCTTCAGCTGGGTCTGCCCCGTACTATACATCCAGCGCTAATGGACACTTTGTTCACTCATGTACCCAACCACTGTCTAAATTACAGACCGAGCTGGAAGGGGATATAGCATGCCTCCAAGTGAAAGCAAGACAACTCCCTCTGTCCGAACGCAAGTGTATTGTAACCCACATATGACCAATAATAAAGATGGTGCTAAAACCTCAAATATATACAGCTTGATACATCCTGTACGATACAGAAAACAGCTACATTTACTCTGCATTTGGCTGGATTTACTTCACATCTCAAATGTGCATCTGATGTGGACTTTTCATCTATAAATCCCATCATATTCACTATTCACAACAATAATCAAACCGCATACATGGTGTTGCAAATGCCATTTTGACAATGCAAATGAAATGAATTCAATATATTGAAATGATTCATTTTGATTGGATAAAAAAATGGGGAAAAAAACCAATTTGGCTGAGAGATTTTTCTCTATCAATCGACCAAGTCCAGATTGATGTTCATGGTAAAACAATGCATGTAGATTAATTATCAAATGTCTGCAGCAGCAGGTGCATCTGAATCTATGCCAGCAGATTTGCATAATGTGATTTCTCTGCATTGTATTTGCACTTGTTAATAAGTCAACACTGCCAGTCAAATCACAACCAAAACAAAGCACCGATGAACTCGAAATTATCCAGTTTGTAATCTGCATGAAGCCAGTTCATGATCTTGAACCAGACTACCAGCAGCTTTACCCGTTTATGGGAGTTATTTTAAAAGAAAAATACAAATATAGTGGACCAGTGAGTCACACAAGCAATGTGTTATCCATTCACAGTTATTATCCACCTGGGATCATAATATAATGGCTCAAATGAAGCATTATGTATGAAGTATGGCCACCTTCCGCTTTTTCACTGGGCAGAAATCAGTTCTTTTTTTCTTTTTTCCTTGAAACAGTTTCTGTGAATGTCGGCTTGAAAATGTCACAGCTTACACAGATTGCTGCAGGGGAACTTCTCTAGGAACAATAATTAACTGAACTCAATCACTGATTAGTAGAGGTGCATGCTGACTGACTCACTGACGCACACTCTCACTTACCTGGCTGTAAATGGCTGCCTCTCTCTAATGATCTATTGCTGAGAGGGCAATTAATTTCATATGCTGTTCTAGATGTATATATATATACACCACACATTCTGTGTGGACACACCCACATCCTGTTATAAAGCTCATATTAACCAAACGTCTTCTGACAAAAATATTACGCCCAGTCTATTCAACATGATATGATTCACTGAGTTTTAAAGCCTTAAAACTTAATATTCAAATCCCCAGAAGACACGGAACCAGTGACATAACAAGCTATAAAACCAATAGCAAGAGAGAAAATAACAATGGCTTTAACCCGGGCATGACAGGACATCCTCGTCCAGGGGAAGGAAAAGCTGAATCTTGTTTACGTTTTCAGCTTCACTACAGACATACCGTACTGTACTGTGGCATGACAGGGAAGCAGAGGCCTTGGTAGACATTAAAGGCAGCAATGTCTGTTTGGGTAGGTTGATCTTCCTCCCTCTAGATGCACAGATTAGTGTGTTTCCTGACATGAATACAGCAGAGTTATTACCACCCTCCTCATGCTATTTACAGCTGGGAGAAAACAGCTCGTACCTGCGGTGAATATGAAATTCATCTGAGCAACAGGTTAAAAGGAGGAAGTGGGATTAAAGAAGAAATAACATTTACATGCAGATGTGGCACCCGATCCATCTTAGTGACTCCATCTGATTTGTTAATAATTAAGTCATTAGGATTACTTAATTTCGCTGAGTTTATCTGTAGAGCAGCGAGAGGGAACGCGAACAAACAATTAACTGTGATCTGCTCTCATACACGTCGGACTGGAGGCTCTGAGATTCAGATCCTCAGACTACAGAGGAGAAAAACAGGCCTCTTGAAGCACGTCAGCCACAAAGATTCCTGCATACGACAAGCCACACACAACACTATGGTGCAAGCCTTTGCCACTGTTAATGCAACACGGTGCAAGCAGCCTTGCATCAGCTGTGGTGACAAGTTAAGAGAAGTGTTGCAACTACAGATCCATGTTTTAACTAAATCCGGCATGACATAAACTGTACAACAATTTATGCATCTCAATGAGCCATTAAGCCACAGTACGAGTGGCTTCAATGAAGAAAACTGGTACAAAGTAGCCAAATCTTCTTGTGTTATCAGCTCAGAAACCTCAAATAAAGTGATTGCCTGAAATTAAATCCAGCATGTGAAATATTTCATTACGGTCCACAGAATGTTTCACATTTATGTCAAAGAAGAAATGGCTGAGCACGTATCAAACAATCTTCGATCCATAGGCCCAGAGTGTTCTTTTCTCTGTCTGCATGCTGGTAACCATAGCATCACTTCAAAGAGCCAGACCAGTTCAAAACAACAGGCTGACAACGTGCAGAGGGGTGGGGCAGTGATTTAATAAAATCCACTATCATGCCAGACACACACACGCACCCACACTGATATCCACTCTATGTAGCAACTGCTCCAGTATGAAGCCCATGAGAGCTCAATGCTTTGTGCTTTTAATTATCCCTGAGGTGCAAAACGCTGCAGCCAGCTCTTGGTACAGGTGTTGGCACACCAGCAGGGATACGCAGAATACTTCCACCCCGAACATGTCAAACGAAACAGGCCTGTGCATTCACTCCTACATCCATGACTGCACCAACTGTCTCCGTCCCCCGGCGGCAGAGCTGTTAATCTCCTGACAGGTGTCCGTGTTAGCTGAGGAATCCATCGAGGCTCCGGATTGACTTTCTTAACACAAGCTTGTAATACAACACATGAAGGGGAAGAGGAATGTGATGCTGCATTCTGGGCTGCCAGCTACTCCCTCCACATGCTAATGAAAGAGCATAAACTCATATCATTGTTATTGTCAGTATTAGATTAATTTAATTCTGGAGACAGAAAAGAAGAGTGAGAAGGCTAACGGCCTGTAACTAGTGTCTTCATATGTTCCTTCTTATCCACTTCCATCTTAGTCTGAGAGTAGTAAATACAACATGTTTGTTACAGCAATATACTTAACATTTACTTCATTGCCAGCTTATCAGCATGATGACAACATGATGTGATTAAACAGAGGCTTCCTGCACAGCAGCTTCCAAACACACTTCAAGAGGAGTCATCATGGTTTTCAACTTCAATCATTCTCAGACAGAGATCAATTCAATAATTTAACTTTTTAATTTAAAAGAATAGCATTTTGCAAATTAACTGAACTCCTCTCTTGAAGCCAAAGCAGACTGATATAGACTGATTACCCTTCCCTTTTACCCAGAGGCCTCTTCCACACAGAGGGCCCCTTCCTCTTGCAGCAGCACTACGAGCGAGGCTCCATTCCACTAATATTATGTTTTCATTTATGAGAAGGGGCTTAAACAGCACCGTGTTTGTTTGTGTTTGGGCGGCTCTGCTTCTCAAGAAATGAAGGAGTAAGGGGAGGAGTGCCGTCGGGGTCAGATGTAGCTGTGGGCCCAAGTTCTCTGAAAACAAGTCAGACGAGAGGAAAAAAGCAACTGGGAGTCAAAAAAAAAAAAAAAAAAAAAAGGCAGCTATGTTGTTTAACTTGTGAAAACAGAGCGCCATGAGAAAGATTTAGACGATAAGACAGACTGAAAAATAAAGATTTCCTTTGGATGTCCTCAGAAAACCTCCTCCATAACAGCATTACATAATGACAGACAAAAGGGTTTACATCAGGAAAGACAAGGAAACGGGTTTCACAACATTACCCTCACCAACATGGAACAATGACTGAAAGCTGAAGAAGCAGCAGGGGATTAAGATAGGAGATCAAGATATAAAGACAGCAATGATTAACTCACCGTTTCTCTTCTCCCTCTGATGGGTTAGGGTCCTGCTCCTTGGGCATGTGTTCCATTCACCTTAATTCCATCCAGCAGCCAATTATGAGAGACTGAGGCAAGCCCCACCCTCGGATGCACACTTGTCATTCGCCGGTTGGGAAGGGTCAGTCAGTGAAACATGACAGGGTCCCGTCCCAGGGGGCTTGGGAGGGAGGAGGGGGGGACTCCAAAAGGAGCTGACCCCCTTTGAGGTTGGGTGTTCTGTAGCTTGGTGTGAAGCTGCAAGATATGGAAGATGGTGGAGGTTCTGCTGTGGGTAAATCGGCAGGCCCTGGGGGCCAGGGGGGTGGGGGGTTGGGGGTGGGGGGGTGGAGATGGATGTCGGTCTCAGGGATACGGAGCGTGGAGTGGGATCCAGTCTACAAGAGAACAAAGAAGAAAGTTAGATTACAGTGTCTGTGGAACTGAAATAATTCATTAGTCAGGGATAAAATGAATCAACAACTGTCCTTATGATTAATTATGTTGTTTTTTAAGTAGAAGTCCAAAAAATACTGGTTCTGACTTCTCAAAGTCCTCTATGATATTAAACTGATTATCTTTTACTTTTGGATTGTTGGTTGGGAAAAAAAACAAGATATACGAGGATAGAAACTTAGGAAATGGGAAATTGTGACGAGCACCTTCACTACATTCTGACATTTTATGAACCAAATTGATCAGTAATGAAAATAGTCACGTCTGTGATGTGAAAGCAAAAAGCTGTTTCTTCCTTTAATAAATCTTTTTTTTTTTTATATCATGCATTTATCAAGGTTTTGTCAACAAAATGTCTCCCATGATTTAATATGAAAGCAACATTTACTCTAAGAGGGTCTAAAAACACTTTGCAAATTGTACCAAATTGCGACTTATTTGTACCAAGTGCACGACTCAACACACAACTCTTTGATCCAAGCCTTTGCAGGGTGCATCACACAAATATCAGAGGAATCAAGTGCTCAGTCAAAGTAAGATATTCCTGCTTCAGCACTGTATTATGTTCAACTTTTAACTTGATTTTCAGATTTCGGTTTCGGCTTTCGTAGCAGGGCTGATGGATTCTCTCACTGAGATCTAAAGCTCTGCAAAAGCTTCATGATAAGACTAAAGGCTTGCCAGGCTTTATTACCTGACCCAATGAATATGACTGAAAGCTGCAAATTTGAGACCCAAACCCAACGCAAGACCCAGATTCTTGCTTTATATTCGGCTCTTGCGAACCATTAGCTCACAAAGCTGATGCAAAGCTTAGGGTACACTGTCTCTTTCATTGTGAAACTACCTACAACGCATGACATGCACAGATGCAGATGACTGACACACTAAGAGAGAGAAATTTCTCAACATATTCCATTGGAAAATTAACAAACCCGAACGCAACCCAAGCCCAAAATTTAAGGCAGCACCACATCCCAAGCCCGACGAGTCATGACAGCATCTCAGGTTTGAGTGTGTGCCAGACCTCGACAGAGATCACGGAGTTTGTCTTAAATACGTTTCTCAAGTTGTTCCAAAGATATCTATCTTAGTGACTAAACGGGAGCTTCCCTAAATGCTCCACCACATGTTGTGTCTACACTGCGTTATGCTGTCAACTCCACTAAGTCTCCCATGTGAGTGAGTCTCACATTCCATCTAGCATTACATGACCCTTAGTCACATGAAACAGAGGCTTTTCCTCATGCTGCCGGCAGCAGAGGGATTCCTCCAAGTCACACACCAAGTTAAGACTGGATACAGTGGCCCGGAGGTCAGAGGGCAAAGTCTGTCACCTTCAATTGTTACTGCTACAACTGGATAGTTCCTGGAGAACTGCCTACACAATGTCAGCTCTTACACAGGGTTAAGTAGCTTTAGGATGAGCAGCTGAATCAATGTGAAAGAGTATGTGTGTGTGTGTATGTGTGTGTGGGTGGGTGCATACACAAGCACTCAAAGGGTCTTGATCCATTAGCCCCTGCCTCCCTCCGCTGTTGGCCAAGGAAGGCTTTATTCTTTCCTCTGCTAATCCCCGGTTCAATGCCTTTCTAATCCGGAACAGTGGGATACAGGACATGAGAATGGCCTTAGACATGACTGATATTATTATTGATTTTACTCCTAATAGAGAGATTATACATATATTCACCTCTCTCTGCAGGCAAAGCAGCATTTCATCACCTCCATGCATGTTTATTTTTTGCATTTATTCTACAAGCAGAAGGCGACTCATCCACATCCCTGAGCCTTTATATATGCACTGATGTCAGTTCAGAAAATAATAAATATAGTTCAAATTTTTCCTTGTAAAAAATGACATATTATTCAAGATTTTCAGGTGGGTGATCATTTTGAATTAGATCTGTAGTCAGACAAAACAAGCAAACTGAAGATCTGAGATGGTGTAATGAGAATTATTTTCTTTATTGTTTATTTGTTGTTCTGTATTGTTGCTATTTCTGACATTTTATGGACTAAATTAAAAAAAAAATAAAAAAATAAAAAAATAATTAAAACACCTTCACACTGATTTCTCCATACACAGTGGTCCCCTTGTTTCACATCTGAGAACTTCAGGAGGTAAGAACTGCTGCTGAGAACTGCTTTTCAGGTAAGTGAAAAGCAAAATTGTCCATTAGTTGAATGAATTAGTCTTAATGCACTGCTGAAACACCTTCCCTCTGTTGAACTTCGTGAACTTTTGTGCAGAATTACTGAATCCACATGTGAAAATTACACAGACTTTAAGCACACTCAGGTGTACGGTTTATATAAGGGCTGCAACCTTCTTCTAAAGGCTTGTAACAGACAGCAATAAACGGCAGAACGTATCTGTTTGTGACTCATCAAGAGGTTGAGATAAGAAACGGAGGTACTTCATTCGGGAGATGTTGTGAAGGTTCAGCTCTTTCAAATCATTGCTGACAGTCTTTTCATTCATATCATAAAAAGTTGTATTATATTAGAAAGATATGGTGTGATTTGTTTTGCTGCCTGTAACATTAACGCCGGCTAATTACCATCTAAAACAACATAAAGAGCCAGCTCTTCGGCTTCTACCCCATTTATTTTGTCTCCATGTAAAAAAGAATCTTAATGTAGACCCTTATTCACCATACAGCAAACACTATCCCTCAAGTACACACTGGAGCACAATCACACAATCACACATATGATACACACACAAACAAACTGCTGTCAGGGAACCACAGGGAGACTCCATTCATTGTTATGTGAGAGGTCAGGGAGAGTTGACTGCCTCTCTGACCGTAGCGGGACCGACTGCGGTGTGATGGTGAACAGGACAGTGATGACATAACCCGTAATAACATATCCCACTAATGAAGTGCGTCTTATCAAACGCCGTCTCTCTGTTACGCTGGCTGTTGAAGTGGCACTGGCCTCACTGCTGTTGTTTGTGCACAAGCACAAAGTGGTTGTTCATCACAGTGGGACGGAGAGGACAGATAAGAAAAGGGAGCCCATTGTTTGATTAGCTGATTAATTGAAATTCAAGTACCACCAAATAAATTAGCAAATGTCCCCCCTCATTAGGAGAAACGTATCACAACACATAGCGTTGGTTGCGTACCATTGGTAATTTAAGACGTCTATTTACAACAGTCAACAACTGGGAGGACGCAACAAACTACTAGCTTCTGCTCGGAGAGAGCGGAAGCGAGTGGGTCTAGCTTGCCAACGTTAGCACCAATTCCCACTAGACATTAGTTTTAGTTCATTTTATTTCAACACTGTCACACTCTCAGTGTTGTGTTTGTCCAGCATCTATCTGGAGTGAGCTGCATCTCTTTCACAGGTCCAGTCTTGGTCATGCCACATAACCAGACTGTCAAAACTCACTGCAACAAGGAAGAAGTCTCACAACCTCAGTTACTGCAAGGTTTAAATCATGACATGCAGTTTCATGCAAATTCTGAGATCACAAACTATATTTTGCGCCTCCCACATCGATACCGGACCGATCACATAACAGGACCGACACTTTCAGTCAGAAAACATCTGTATGCATCACCGCAGAAAAATAAAAACTACTTTTTCCTCTTTCTGGTTATAACAATTTGACCAAATGACCAATACCCATTTCTTTGATTTTTTTTTTTTAAATTTTAGTTGGATTTCAAGGGAAAAATCCACCTGACAACTCCTTTAGGAACATATCTTACAATTTAGGGCATATAGTTTATTTTTCTTATGACAAAGAAATGGTTAAAGAATAACACTGCATCAAGATATTTCCAGGAAAACAATAGCACACACTACAATAGTAGTCTGATAAATCTGTGAGCCATATCGTTGCGCCTTCTTTCATCTCAACTACTGCATTCTTGCATGTGCTCCTTCGTCATTGCCCCCACCCAGCAAGTTATTCTTATGTTAACATCCCCTACATCCAGGGTCAGTCTGTCAAGTAGTCTGGGGCCAGAAAAGGAGTACACAGCATGCCTGAGGAAGGAAAGTGAGAAACAGGAGATAAGGATAAAGTGAGAAAGAAAGAAAGAGTGAGATAAAGTGGGATAATATAGTGTGTTCTGGGAAGGGCAAAGTTGATGAAAGAGAAATAAAAAGACTTGATTTAGAGCACTGTTGGAATGAAGACAAAATAAACCCAGTTATCACAGCGAGAAGACAAATAACAGGAAGAGAACAGGGTGTGTCAAAAGGCAAATTTAGGGCTTTTTAGCCGTTTTCAGCTCAAATCTACATATATAGATATTAAATGCCTGTCTGTAATTATACACTTATGTTATCAGTTACAGGTTTTTTATACAACCTTTTATGGTCTGCGCACAATAAACTGTGAATACCCAGCTCACTGTGCGTATCACAGTGGGATTGGATCAAGAAACCAAACTTATAATAACATGTTATCACTTCATTTTACGTAGTTGACGAATGGCTTTGGTGGAACGTGTTCTTGGGTAAGCTTCGAATGGCAGCCAAGTTAAAGCGATACTCCATCCAAAAATTGATTGATTCATTTATTTGATAGAGACTAGTAGAAAGGTGCAGAGGAAATATGGGATAGAGAGGGACGACGAGGACTCAATCTGGACTCAATCCCAAGACAACCAGTTATGCAGTTATGCAGTCTTAAACAATTTGCCCCAAAAATCTGTCTTCTGGCTATTAAAAACACAATTTTTTATTTATGGATTTGTGTATT